TTTGCTGTGAAATTTGCCTTTTTGCTCCATGAACAAAAAAAACCAAGGGGAGGGAAAGGCTTGAAAGGAATCCTGCCGCTATAATTTCACGAAGTATCATTGTAAAAGCCCCACAACACGATCAAAGCGCTGCGGGAAACAGATGTTGCAAGCTTCTCAGGAACTCCAGGGTCCGTATTTATACCATTGCTAAATCCTAGGAGTCAGATCTTTCCCTTGGAGAAGCGCTTGAAGTCTCCCGGAGGTGTGCCTAGGTGTGAGCCCGAGGGCAGTGTGAATGCGTGCGGCTTGTGCAATACCCGGTGCGGTTTGTGCAACCCCCTTAGAAAGCACAATTGCCAGCACGGCTTCCAGAGGACATCCCACCCTCAGGAGCTCACGTTTCACCTGTTGTGCACGAGAAACAGGTCTTTTTTCCCCCCCTCTTTATTCAGTGGGATTCACCCAAACGCACAGAAAAGTCCCACGCAGCGCCTCCGTGACCTCATGGCTTGCATTGAAGGCCTGCCCGGAGATGAAGACAGCCCGAAGGATCAGCGCCCACCTGGACACCACCGGTTTGGAAGAGCAGCAGCACACGGGAGCAGGGCAGGTGGGCAGGGAGGTCGTGTGCCCGGCTAAGCTGGTCAGTAAGATGCATGGGTGTGTTCATGCCAAGCCCGATTACCGAAACGCCCAGCCTCTGGGAATAAAACTGCTCGTCTTAATACATAGCAAGCGACAGTCCAGACAGATCTGCAGAGGCCGCTCACAACGCATTGTCCCTACGCCCTGGAGATGGTGCTCCATCTCCACTTCAAAGCCCTCCAGGAGGGCATGGTATGTCCCCCGAGGGACTGCTCTCCTCCCCTGGGAGATAGCAGGGGTGGAGAGCAGTCCCGCAGTAAAACTGCGACTTGGCATGGCAACCGGCTTGCTGATCTGGGCCCCGCTCCTATGAGCGGATACGGATACTATGAGCTGAGCCCCTTCGGAGCAACGTGCAACTGCTCCCCCAAGCCTCCTATCTCTGATGGCCCCACCAGGCACCACATCCAAAAACAAGAGCAAAATTATTTGCCTCTGCAGCCTAAAGGCACTGGATTGGGACTTGGGCCTCTGCCACTGACCTGCTGTGTGGCCATGGGCAAGTCACCTGAACTCTCTGTGGCTCTGCTTCCCCTGCTTTACAGCAAAATCCCTTGGGGAGCAGGGGGGAAGGCAAGGATAGACCTTCACTAAGCACCTGTGAAGAGCCCAGCCCAACAGGGTCCTGATCGCTGCTGGGAGCCCACAGGTGCAGCAGAGTGCAAAGAGGTAAATCAAATGGTAGCAGGGTCATGGAGGAGAGAGGCACCCCATGAGACATGCACAAGCACAGGCGGAAGAAATGCTCTGTGGTACCTACAGGACAGACCCCTCTACGATTCACCCAGCAACTGCAACTCTCCATTTATAGCAAACACCTTGGATAAGGTACCAGCTGCGATCGGCACCAGATTTCCACGGCAAGCCACGTTCCCCGAAACATTATTCCCCCCTAGCACGGCGCTGGGTGTCCGAGTGCTTTCCCAGGAACGTTAACCAGTACCTCGGGAGCGATGCGAAAGTTTAAACGCTGCACAACACCCGGCGGTTTCATCCACGTGAGCCATAAACCAAAACAACATTCATACCAATCAAGCGCCCGAGAGATGCTGAACAATAAGGCACCCAAACAAGGAACCGAAACGAGGGGCTGCACATTCGCAGAGGAGCGTCTTTGCAAGCAGGGTCTTGCAAGTACTTCACTTCTCTAATATGTGTCCAGTTTCATTTCACCTGTTTCCATGGGCTTCCCTTCCAATTCCTAAACCTGCCTGAACATCCTCTTTCACTATGAAGAGCAGCTTCACCTTCACTTCTCCCTCGAGGAGAAGCGTTCACACGGGCCGGGGAGGTGGCGGGGAGGAAGTGGCTTTCCACCTCAAGTCCAGGAGACCCACAGGAGATGCCACTCACAAGCCACGAACACCTCTCTAATACGAGTCCCTCCACTTTTCCCCGACTAATGCTTTGAGCATCAGTGAAATAGTTAATCAATGACAACAAAAGATGCTTTTTAGTGGTACTCTGGAGCCACCAGCTCATCGAAGGCAGAGCCAGTCTTGTTGGGCAGTGTCGGGAAGAGGAGGACTTGTGTCCCGAAGAGCCGGCTATTGTGCTTTCTGCCTCCACCGTTCGCATCGGACGTGCACGGGCTCACGCCTCAGTGGGGTGAGTCTTGGAAATGGGCTGATTCTAAAATACAAGAGGAAAGCATTGAATTGGGGGTATAGATATACATTTGACAGTCCATACACTGCAGCCTACCCACTGCCCTTGGGAGACCTATGAGCAATTGTCCTTCCCCATCGCTCCGACCGCCAGCCGAGATGAAGGACCGGTGCCAAATGCGCCGGTGCGTACGTGATGCAGACACCTGTCCTCTGGGAACTGGACTGAAACCAAGACACCAAGGTTACCTTGCGTGGCCTCTATCACAGCAATGACAGCACACGCCCTAAAGACGGCACCACCCATGCCCGGAGGAGGACTAGGACGGGGGTTTGGTTTGGTTCGCTGGCGCTGGAACGAGGGAGAAGTCTCTCGGGCACGGTGGAGGCAGAAAACAGAATAGCCGGCTCTTCGGGAGACGAGCCCTCCTCTTCCCGACACTGGTTTTGCCTTCAATGAGCTGGTGACTCCGAGTGGCTCAGGATGCCAAGACTACACTGCATCTTTTGGCAGGCTTGTAAGTGCCCGAGGGTCACTGACAGTGGCCAGAGG